CGGGCAGTTCACCACCAGGCAGTTCGCCATTAGGCAGTTTGCCACCAGGAAGCATCACCAGGCAGTTCTCCCCCGGGAAGTTCGCCACCAAGTAGCTCATCACCAAGGCACGTCACCACCAGGTCAAACACGAGGTACTTAGCCAAAAAATTTTACACATCCCAAAAAATGGTACATGACCAAAAACGGTTACATCAGTTTCAATCTAAACCAGGCCCATTGGCACTTATACTCTTATTTTATATCAATAGATCAGATATTGGCTTAATCCAACCCAATCCAATCTAATAAATATTTTGGACCGGGTTGATCCAATCTATTGGTCCGTCCAAATTGATTTTGGACCGGACGGGTACAATTCAAAACCGATCCGTTGACACACTTAGTACTAACTTGATACTACCCCATACTTCAAGTTAATAAAGTGTAATTTTCCTTTATTTCAAATACTAATAAAGAAGTGAAGAGAAAACTTCCGTTCGTTGGAATTCTCGAGAACCCCTTTCAACATTACATTCCATCCCCATTCAAAAGCACTGCAACAAACCCAAGCGCCCTCTCTCTCTCTCTCTCTCTCTCTCTCTCTCTCTCCTGTTCAATCACGACTTCTCTCTCTAGTATCTGGTCTCTAGTCTCAAGTCTCTCGGCGGAGTTGTTCGTCTCACCGGATAACAACAAAAAGAAGCTAGTATTTTCTGTTTTTGGTTTCTTCTGCCAAGTTAAAAGAAAGAGAGAGGGGAAATGCCAGAGATGGAAGGTCCAGCAAAGGCTCCCCCCCAAATCTCCGAAATGTTTCAGAAGTTCGCCTTGGCCTTCAAGACCAAAACCATCGAATTCTTCGCGGACGAAGAAGACGACGATGCCGATCCCCTCTCCCTTCTCGACTCCACTGAAGAAGTCATCACCGGTCAGCGCGTCGTCGTCATCAAGCCCGATCAACTCATTAAGCCAACCCCACCTGCCCAACTGCAGCAGCAGCAGCAGTATCACCAACACCAGCAATTACCATCACCACCACCTCAACAACAACAACCACAACAACAAAATGAGAGAGATCGTTACCACCCCGACAATCTCCAAATCGTCCAAACCCTAATCTCTTCCCTCTTCGCCACCATTTCCTCCTTCGAAGCTTCTTATTTGCAATTTCAGACTGCTCATGCCCCTTTCGATGCCGACAATATAAAGACGGCTGATCGAGCTTTGGTCTCGCACCTTCAGAGACTATCCGAGTTGAAACAATCTTATAGGGATTTTCGCAAGAACCCTACCCCTAACCCCAATTTCCCTATCGCTTTGTCTGATTTGGAAGCTCAGGTACAGGAGAATCAGAGTCTGCTCCGTACTTTGGAGATAGTCGTCAACACGTTACAGTCCGATATCGATCTCAAAGATGCTGAGGTTTCCACAATGAAGCAAAAGTTGGAGAAAATTCAAAATTCCAATCTCAGGTTATCCAAGAGGCTGTGTAATTCGAATTCTACTTCGTCATTGAATTCTTATTCTTCTTCATCTTCTTCATCGTCCGCGTCCTCGTCTGTTTCTTCTTCTTCTTCTTCTTCTGAGGTTCTATTGTCTGTCGGAGTTTTCAGTTCGGTTTTACAGGACGCTTGCAGATCGGTGCATAGTTTTACTAAGCTCTTGATCTCTTTGATGAAGAAAGCCGGGTGGGATTTGGATTTGGCTGCGAACTCCGTTCAACCGGGTATCGACTACGTGAAGAGGGGGCATAATCGGTATGCGTTTCTCTCGTACGTTTGTTTAGTAATGTTTGAAGGCTTCGATTTAGAGGGTTTTGGCTTGGGAGGAGATGAAATCGAGTATAATGGAGTTGATTTGAGTATTCGGAGGAAAAATTCTTTGAGGCAATTTGTCGAGCACGGTACAGGTAACGAGATGGAGCTTCTAAATAGGGACCCAAGTGGTGATTTCGCCAGGTTTTGTGAGAACAAGTACGAGCAGCTAATTCACCCTACCATGGAGTCCTCTCTGTTCAAAACCTTGGACCAGAACGAACTTGTGTTGAGTTCTTGGAGGGCTTCCGCTGCTTTCCACGAGTTGTTTGTAAACATGGCTAGTTCCATTTGGATGCTGCATAAGTTGGCATTCTCGTTCGATCCACCGGTTGAGATTTTTCAGGTGGAGAGAGGGGTTGATTTCTCGATGGTTTACATGGAAAACGTCACGCGGGAAGGTGTGACACGAGACCAAACAAGAGCGAAGGTTGGTTTCACAGTTATTCCAGGATTTAGAATTGGGAGGACCGTCATTCAATCTCAGGTGTATCTAATTGGCACCAAGCGTGCAGATTGAGTGTATCCTTGTTTCCCAGTGTAAAAGCCAGAATGAAGAAGAGAAGCACATATTGGTTCTTCATCCAAATCATTAGTATTCGACTTATGGGAGGAGCAAATGGTGAAAACAATTGGGTATAACGCATTTGATTTATGAAGGGGGCTCCCCATATTTGGTGTCTTTCTTCGCAATTAGATAGATCTTGGATGACTTTGGCTTGTTGGGCTGCAAGATTGATGCCAGAATTCTGCATATGACCCAGGACAGAATGCCGAGCTTGAAAGGAACCTCGGCTTTGGTGTAAAACAAGTGATTAGATTGGCATCCAAAGGATGCTTCATTTCAATGCACAGTTGTGCTTCTTCTCTTTACTGATTACAGAGTTCTGCTTTCCACTTTCATTACTGATTGGGGTTTTCTGTTATACCTCCCTTGTAGAGCTGCTTGTAAAGAAAATATTTTCTTTCTCCCCTTTCATCTCCTTGATTGGTAAACCAGACAGCACAATACCATACGAATTTGTGTATCTGAATCAAGTATTTCTCATAATTACAAGAGTTATGAATTCAGGTGATAAATACCCAAATGATTCTATTTCATTTTTCATCTTCATCGTTTTCATCTGGTTCATATCGAAAGGTATCTAATTTGTTTTGCTATTAAATATATGTACTGGATATTTAAATTTGGTAAGCAACCATATCGGGACTCCTTTTTCCCCAATTCTGTTTTTTTTTTTTTCTTATTTATTTCTTGAAATTCAACTGAGGCATAATGGGAAGACAGCTTCAGGTCAAGGGGAATGGAAGTTATGGAACTTGGTAGATATGCATATGGCTTACATCCCAGGGTCAATGGGAAGACAGCTTCAGGTTCACTTCTTTTGCAATTGATGTTATGATGAAGGTCGGAGCTTCTTTGAGTGCATCGTCCTATGCATTACCTTTACTATTCTTGCTTAATGGAGAGAACTTCATAAAGTAAACTGAGTCTTCAAGGAATAACCACTTAACCAGAGTGGATGACTCCATTAAGCATGTGTGTATTTTCTGGTCAGTAACAAAAACAACCAAATGCTCATTTTGTCATTGAGGGTAATAGGTTCTATAGCTCCAGAAAGGTGTCGTTTGTGCTTTTAATCTTGTACCTTGTTTGCAGTTCAGTTGGATTTAGCCACGTGATTTGCGAAGCCTATGTGTGTGTATGTGTTGGGCAATGAGCAGCAGTTAAAGGGTCTGGGGGAGGGGGGATTGCTTAAACCTCGGATCAGAGTTGACTAGTGTAAGAAGATTTGGTTTCATGTTTAGGTTTGGATGGTTAGACCTATTTTAGAATCTAGAGTTCGTTGTACAGAGCGTTTCAGTTCTTGGAGGCTGCAAGGCGATTGAAGTCTGGAGACTTTGTATTCTCGTTATTCTATCTAGCTTATCTGCTTTATTTATAAAAGGTCCAATCGGACCCAGTAAAAATATATTTTCCATTCGACCAGTTACTACTTAGTCGTCGTTCATTTTTTGGTACACGGGTAGTGAACTCATGCAATTTGCTTTTTTATATGAAAAGTCATTACTCGTGATCCATACCATTAGATATGGAGTAGCTCTGCAACCACTAACCAAGCTCACTACAAGTGCTGAATGGCATAGCTTGGACAGAGGTAATCTTATAAGGGTTGACGTAACAGGTCAAGCTTGGACATGCTTTGAAATATTTAATGAATGAACTAAACCAAGCTTGGGGCTAATGGTTTCCAGCCTGTTAGTACCAATAGGGTTGATCCGCCCCTGTGCATCTTATCCCACTCTTTTCTGATCCAGTACTACTTGCACAGAGGAACTCTCCTCAGACTGCTCTTTGTCCCTGCGTTAACTTGTTTTGATCCTGAAATGCAAGTGAATGGACATATCGAAGTAAAAGTTTAGCGTGGAATAATAGATAGGGATGAATGATCCTACATTTCTCATTTCTCACTACTAGTATTTACTGCTTTATTTTGGTAGATTAGTAGAATTGCCCGGGGTATTTGAATCAATGGATGATTAACCACATCCAGTATAGAAATTTAACTAAGTTGGCTGTAAAAACTTGGTTGATTCTTGACTGCTTGCGTTAGCATCAATTTGTTCAATTCTTGAAGTTTTATGTATCTTAAAAAAGAAAAAGTGACTTTATGTATCTTAAAAAAGAAGGAAAGTACCAAGATGAAAACACAAAATGATCAACACAGGTTTTACAAAAACTGAACAATAATGTAGGTAAGGTTCAAAATATCGATACATTTGATACGCTGGTAGGGGTGTATCGGGCGAATCGATATTATTTTTTTTCTTATTTTTTTTTAAACTGGTTCAGGGGGGCCGGTTTAGGGCTCCTCCACCCCCTGAACCGGTCAGACCCCCGATACATCCATTATAGGAGCATATCGGAGGGATCTCGGAATGATATGTATCAGCCGATATGGGTCGATACTTCAAACCTTGAATGCAGGTATTTCACATTTAGCAGAATCCACTCATCAATACACTCCACATGAACTTAACAATCTTAACATATCCTAAAATAGAAGGGACAGCACCACAATTCCTCTTGGATGAAACCCAAAAGGAAAAACATGCTTAAGGTAGAAAGCCCAAAAATATGCTGGCTTGGAAATGGTCAAGTACATTTAAAACTTGGCTAGAAAACTCTTCATGTCTTGATTTTTCTTGCTTCTACAATTTACGAAAATGACATCTATTATGTGGGACCATGACAAAAAAGAAAAAAAATGAAAAGAAAAAGAAAGGGTGTAACCATGGGCAAAATACACAACAAAGGAGCAACATAAAAATGAAACGGATTTATTCAAATGGTTATGGCATCATGGAATTCTCAAATATAAAAAAATAAAAAATAAAAAAAACAAGATGATCAAATTTTCCCACTATGGATGCTTGGTCGTTTTGATAAAAAACAGTGCAAAATTAGAATTATTTACCTCATTCCCAACATTGAACTCGCAAATGGGACATTCACTACATGTAGTTGGAACAACATTTAGATTAACTTGAGAAACTCCTGATTAAGTACTTCCACTACTTCTCTCTACATAACCAAAAACAAAAGTTACAACAGCTAAAACAGTAACAAGAACAGAACCAAAGGTGGGATAAGAACTTATTAAACAATACAATATTGGCATACATATATATATAATAAAACAAAAGTAATCCTTACCTATCCTTTACGGCATGCCTAAGCTAAAAAAAAAGACTTGAAATTGTTGAACAACCACTATTAGCAGCTGATAGTCATTTTAAACCTATTTTAAACACTAATTGATTAAAAATAATTGAGTCACAAAAAATTAACAAGAGAAATCATAAAGCACAAAATCTGCTTATAAAACATGTAAATCTACACCTGATTTCGTTACATATGTTGTTAAACTGAAACCCTAATTAAAATTAATAGAATAATAATAGCAAAAGATTTCATAAAAGAAGTAATGTAGTTAAAACCTATGGCATTTCTAGCTAAAAACTAACTGATTATCAGAGAACAAGAATAAAAGAGATTAGAAACAATCTCTCAGATGGGGAAAAACACAACATTGCTGAGAAGGATTCCGGCATGCTTTCTCGTTTAATATTCATTACCGCAAAAACTCTGATTATCAATGAAACCCGAGAAACGAAACACATGGAGTTCCATTTTCGACAAAAGAAATACGGCTTTTATATAGGATAATATTGTAAAAGCAAGATCAGGCTCATTTGTCAATATATACATAACAAAAGCTCGTTACTTGGAAGGGGTAATATTGGAAAAGGGAAACCAGGGTCTTTGATCATTGTATTTGTTCCCTTCTCATTTATTATTGAAGTTTTTATTGTTCAGTCTACCCTTAGAAATCTTATCTCCACCGTACAATTGGGATGAATCCTGATCATGAATCGATGCCAAATCCACAGGCATGATGCAGTTTATAGGGGGGCTACTAGTAGATTAGGATGGTGTTTGGTATTGATGTAGCTTTTGGAAGAAACGGTGCCAGCTCAGCATTAGAGATGCGTTTAACAGAAAATGCCTAAAAAGTTATTTGGTTGAGCCGTTTATATGATAAATGACTCTCTCAAAAATTGTGTGAATCGTTTATTAAAGAAACACCAATCTTGACGTTTTTCATTTTCAAGACTGGTTTTTCATTGTTTGGCTTATATAGTGCCTAGTGGCGTCTAGTGGCGCTGAGATGTAAAAAAATCGTGCAAAACGTTTTAAACAGATTTTGTCTCGTTTTTCAAGACAAAATCATAGAAAAAATTTATCTTATAAATACCATGGATACCAAACAACCTCTAGGAGGGAGCTGTAATTTCAGATTTCTGAGGTGAAGTACAGTCTACTTATTCCTTTATTTTTTTATTTTATAAATGGTCAATGGGCTAGCATAGTCTTTTATCCTTCCTCTTTTTAGGAATCATTGTCGGCAGGCTCATGCAGTTTGCTCCATCCAGCACTTGATTTAATGAGTTTGAATGAAGCCAAACATGATAATTAAGCACGTTAAATGAGCATTTGATAAAATATTTTAACAACTTTTAATCTTTTTCAAGGACGGGTTGAAGATATTTTAAGAGACAGGTGTCAAAGAAAAATTTAAGTATTCATTAAACGTACTTACAAAGTTGTGCCTACCTGACCCAAGCTGAAACATGGGCCTGACATTTCTAATAATTCAGCCCAGGGCTACCCAATATAAATAACTTAAGAACGACTGAACAAGCATGGGCCAGGCTAGACACTAAAGCCTGCCATTTAATGATATCGATCATAGTGTCTTTTACGAAAAATTGAGGAAATAAGATAAGCACGATTGTAGTGTTACAACCTTTTTAGCTAAAAAAAATCCCTTTCATTTGTATGAACAATTGGTAAATCTAGGTCTAGAATGCCCTTTATATCTTCTTGTAGGACCCCGTCTCCCAGGAAGAGAGGGAGAAAGAAAAAGGATGGATCAATTAGCCCAAGTCCCTTAGTCCCTCTTCATTGGAGAGGCAGCTTGTTTGTGTTTTAAGACATTCGATAAAATTGGAACGATACAGAAAAGATTAGCATGATTCCAGCACAAGAATGATACACACAAATCGAGAAATGATCCAAATTTTTTCTTTTCAAAAAAAAAATGTCTTGCTTCATAAATCAATGAGTTAGGATCTCTACAAATTAAGAACTCATCACAAGTGACAATAGACTTATTTATGGGCCAGGTAGCTCAGCTGTTAGGCTATTGTTCGAGCAGAGATTGGACTTTGTAAATAAACCAGCCAAAACCATTTCCAATTTTCTCTTCCTATTTCCCATTTACAAATCTGCTCCCTTTGCTATTTGTTGCAGCAACAGCAGCATCCATCAAGTTAAAAAAATATAGAATTAGAAGATAGAACTAAGATATTACGTAACGTACACTGGACTTCAGGCTTTATATTGGGGCTGGGCTTGATTGGGTTCAAGAATAGGCTTGACAATCAGGCCAAATTTAGGCTTGAGCCTGGACATTATTTTGTTAATAAG